GGTAGAATGTCCCATAATATAATGACCACCCCTAATAAAGGCCTGAGGTTTTTTCGGCACCGAACGAATGTGGCCGACAGTAGTGGCACTGCGGCTGCTCCGAAGTTCTAGAAACTCATTGGCTGAGCGATAGCGAAGCCTGTTACTCCAGTGGGGTTGAAAAATTTTTCCTGTCTGTCTGTCTGTGTGTCTGTCTGTGTGTGTACACTACTCCTCCTGAACGGCTCGGCCGATCTGGCTGAGATTTTGCAGGCTTATGAGGTATGTCCTTGGCTCGGCACACGCGAAATTTCACCATCCTAGCTCAAGTGGTTCAGTTTTTATAGCCGAAAAACACCTAAAAAACGGCGAAAAATCGAGTTTTCTGCAGGCAGATTACTTCTGTCTTGAAGAAAGGGGTGTCTGGGGGGCGGAGCTCCCCAACCTCGACAAGTTAAAAAGTTACAAGGGTCAAGATCGTGTTATCTGTAGATTAAGCAACTCTTTCTAGAATTAAGGGGGGTCTGGGGGGCGGAGCCCCACAGCATGCAACACGTAAGAAGTAGCCGACGATGGACAAGCCAATGCCTGCCGAAGGCAGGCTAGCGCCGCAGGCCAAGGTAGGTACGCGAGGCGCGGATTGGAGGAACAGGCCGCGAGACATCGCGAAGCACTGCAAACTGAATGGAAAGACATTACGCCAAAATGTGGCGAGACAAAAAGTCTCGCCACATTTTGGCGATACTTTCATGTCTCGCCACAATATGGTCAGATTCAAATGTCTCGCCAATTTATGGCGAGACTTTTTTGTCTCGCCAAAATATGGCCCAAAATTATTTAAATAGGGTAGGCAATGCATGGATTCATAGCAAAATACATAAACTACTGCATTATTCACAAAATTCACGAGAAATCATTTCTGATCACCACTGATAGTTGTTTGACCCACTGGGGACTCTCAAGAGTAACGCTGTTTGTTTCGCTCATAAACCAAGAGGTGCGTCTTCACATAACAGGGCCGCTCACATTCAGTTTCATTGAAATCAGATTGTACTCACAATAATCACAGTAGCACTGTGGCTATGAAGAAATTTGCAGGCAGGTTGAGAGTTGATTCATCGCATAAAGATTGTCTACAAACATGTAGCTTTGAGTACTGTACAACTTAGCCCAGAGAACAGATGGTGCAGACTGTTGATGAACTTAACATTTTGACAGTTCTCCTTTTTCACACGCAGTTTGACTATAGCTCGAACGATTAAAAGACATCTTCGCAAACAGATAACCCAGTTGGCAACAGTCGTCATTGCTCGAAACTAGGAAAAACTAAATTATATCGTTGCAAGTCAAACAATCGCTCAGAGGCTGGCAGCCATTTTAGAGGCTATGTTTTTGTTTTTGGACAGAAGAGGTTATGGGCAGTTATGGGCGTGACGATTTAGATTCAGATTCGGGTTGGGAAATTATACGCATGACCAAACCAGTATTCGCAGTCACATCCTCACATCTCGTAAACAAAAGTAACCTGAGGAAATGGCCGCTGGTTATCATGTTTTCCTCTCGACTTTGCATCAATAAAATTAAGTTTTTTCTAGTTTGGAGCGATGACGACTGTTGCCAACTGGGTTATCTGTTCGCGAAGATGTCTTTTTATCGTTCGAGCTATTGTCAAACTGCGTGTGGAAAAGGATAATTGTCAAAATGTTTAGTTCATCAACAGTCTACACCATCTGTGCTCTGGACCAAGTTGTACAGTACTCACAGCTACATGTTTGTACACAATCTTTATTGGATGAATCAACTCTCAACCTGCCTGCAAATTTCTTCATAGCCACAGTGCTACTGTGATTATTGTGAGTACAATCTGATTTCAATGAAACTGAATGTGAGCGGCCCTGTTATGTGAAGACGCACCTCTTGGTTTATGAGCGAAACAAACAGCGTTACTCTTGAGAGTCCCCAGTGGGTCAAACAACTATGAGTGGTGATCAGAAATGTTTTCTTATGAATTTTGTGAATAATGCAGTAGTTTATCTATTTTGCCATGAATCCATGCATTGCCTACCCTATTCAATAATTTTGGGTCATATTTTGGCGAGACAAAAAAGTCTCGCCATAAATTGGCGAGACATTTGAATCTGACCATATTGTGGCGAGACATGAAAGTATCGCCAAAATGTGGCGAGACTTTTTGTCTCGCCTCTCCAGAGGCGTAAAGTCTGACCTTTGGATTTGTAGTGAGCCTGTTACGACAGGACGCGGTCTGGCGTAAACCTACCTTGTAGTAGCACGATGAGCACGATTCATTCTGGCCAATAGCTATGAAGATTACAGCGAAAGGGGAAGGAATATCAGGTACCTAGAGGCAATTGCGTACAACATCAAGGTGCAGCCAGATAGATTGTCTGATGCCGAGCCAGCGATTGGCAAATGACAAGCCAATGATTGATAAATCCTAAATGATATTTGGAAGCCATGCCAAATAAAATTATTTGGGATCGGACTTGGTTAATTTATGTCACTATGGATAAACAAAAAGTTTGACATTTAAAAATGAGGCCAAATAATTTGGGGGCATTCTTTGCACACGGACATGTTTCTTCACCGGACATTATTGGCTGAGCGATAGCGAAGCCTGTTACTCCAGTGGGGTTGAAAAGTTTTTCATGTCTGTCTGTCTGTCTGTCTGTGTGTGTCTGTGTGTCCGCACTACTCCTCCTAAACGGCTCGGCCGATTCTGATGAGATTTTGCAGGGTCATTGGGCATATCCTTGGCTCGCCACACACCAAAATTCAGCTTTCTATCTCAATCCATTCGGTCATATTAGCCGAAAAACACTTTAAAAACGGCAGGAAAAAGACAACTTTTTTGGAACTTTCAACTTTTTGTCAAATTCAATGTCGTTATAAATATTTTTGAGGCTGCTGATGACGAAAATAGAACCCATTCAGACCTCCGACCGAAAGTTTAGCCCCATTAGTGAAGATTTTGATGACCAAATGCTCTTTTTGAGGGAATCACGCCCATTTCCACGGTCTGCCAAGGAAGGCAGCCTGCCGAAGGCAGGTTAGCGCCGCAGGCCAAGGTAGGTGTATACGCCAGGCGTGGATTGTCGAAACTGGCGCAGCATCGCGAAGCCTGTTACGACAAGACACTGTCTGGCGTACACCTACCTTGTTTCCTAATGGACATAAATTTAATGGACATTTTTTCTGCGGGCATTAGTTCCTGAAACCGTTTATTGCGCATATCTTCGCTTTTCAAGTTTCTGCTATTCTGTTGACCATCGTTATCTGAATGTGGTAGGAGCAAGAAAATGTGACGTTTGTTTACATTGTGACTCATGTGTCGCAATGGCACTTGAGGAAAATTATCGATCTGCTATCTGCCACAAGTGCACTTGAGACAAAAAGATCACTAACAATTGGCGCAAGAGTGGCGCAAGATCACTTCCGGCACGAATCATGAAATGGTTGCACCACAAGATGGTTCATCATAGTTAAATTCACAGAGCGCGCGTTATTTCACCCCTAAGAGTAGAAAACAGGGTATTTTGGTCGAATTTCGAATCCCCGATGGAAACAAAATATACACTATACGCGGTCAAATGTGCACTTAGTAGACAACAGTGGGAGTGTGCTTCGAAGCACACATCTAAAGTAGTGTACCTGCAAGCGCACATTACCAGGGACCGCGGCAGCAGTTCACGACGGGAGGGGGCTAATTAGATGCGTGTAATGTGGAATTTACAATAGTTGGGACGGCGCTTTTGGCCCTCAATGTCGGTGAAACGCGAGCGGAGCGAGCTAAAGGCTATCAAAATATGGGAAGTATAAGCTATAAGCGACCGCATACAGTTAAAAGTCACCAAATAGTGGAAATTACCAAGAAAGGCGAGCAAAGCGAGCTTAAAGCCAGCGAATTTATGAATATATTAGCGTATTTTGGTTTAAATTTGGACAATATACAGAAATTTGCACGCCACAACGGTAAAAACAAGGGAAATTTTCGTACAAATTTGTACGTGATTTCGCACAAATGCGTGGAAATATGTGCAGCTTTTCGTACGAACGAAAAGTTTGTGGCCACAAAAAAAGTATGTTGTCTTGTACGAAATTGTAAATAACACTTAGAGTGCAATGAATTCCCAGTTCACCTGCGTCCACCACTGCAACTGCTTCGAGGACTTTTTTGGCTGAGCGATAGCAAAGCCTGTTACTCGGATGGGTTTGGAAAGTTTTTTCTGTCTGTCTGTGTGTCTGTCCGTGTGTCCGCACTTCTCCTCCTGAACAGCTCGGCCGATTCAGCTGAGATTTTGCAGGCTTAATAGGTATGTTCTTGGCTCAGCACACGCGAAATTTCACTATCCTAGCTAACGTGGTTCAGTTTTTAGAGCCGAAAAACACCTAAAAACGGCAAAAAAAGTGGTTTATGCAGGCTGATTACTTCTGTCTTGAAGAAAGGGGCGTCTGGGGGAGCCCCCCAGCATCGACAAGTTAAAGAGTTAAAGAGTTACAAGATCGTGTTATCTGTAGATGAAGCAACTCTTGAATGAAGGGTGGTCTGGGGGCTCCAGCATGCAACAAGTAAGCAGTAACCGACGATGGACAAGCCAATGCCTGCCGAAGGCAGGCTAGCGCTGCAGGCCATGGTAGTTACGCCAGGCGCGGATTGGAGGAACAGGCCGCGAGACATCGCGAAGCCTGTTACGACAAGACGCGGTCTGGCGGAAACCTACCTTGTTAACACTGCATTTTCATGAACAGAATTACATTGGACTTACCATGCTTTGCGCCACCTGTTATGGGCGTCTCAAGGAAGGACTGTTCCCCGGATTGTTAGTCTCGTGTATTGACACGGATTGTTTGAGTGCCCGTTTTGCCCTTCCATGCGACTTAACCCTTTCACACCTGAGTAGTCAGAATGACACAACTCGTCGGGAACCATTCTTCGAAACCTCTCACATCTGTTATCGATTTCAAAAGCCAACACGATTTAGCCGACTCATGAACCTGCCGCCCAAGCTGCACTTTCTAGAAGAACGTCTTGTGCACCTTTTAAATAGAGACACTCCGCGATCCTCATCAGTGTCCCGAGCTCGCAGCACAGCAAGCAACCTCCTCCACCATGTCCAAGATCGCCATCGTCGTCGTGCTGGCCGTGGCCGCCTGCCTCATTGTAAGTCCACTGCAGTGAAAGTTTGCACACGCTGAATGTTTTGGTACAAATTTTGTACGAGACATCACAGTTATTTGTGCACAAGAAATTTTCGTACAAATTTGAACGCGATTTTGAACAAAAATGGGGAAATATGTGCTGTTTTTCGTAAAAAAATTTGTACGACATGTTCGTGTGCACAAGAATCTGTGATGTCTCGTACAAAATTGTACACAGCATTAGTGTGCGGTGAGTTCAATTTCAACTCGCAAAGGGATTTGTGGTAACTGGCCGTAGCTATGGGTGGTTTAGGGGCGAAAACATGGGAAATATAAGGGCGATGGGTTAGTTCCTGACCCTTAACATCTCCGACTACGTACTAGAAGACCCGTATACTTTGCAATTTTAAGCTCAACCGATAGTGCTCATTTCAAAAAGGGTTGCGTCTTTGATTATTTTTCCTTCCCCCTACGCCTCACGCAGTCTCAAAACCAGTTCGGCGCGACCAAAAATGTCCCTCGTCAGGAAACGTAACGCACTGGTGAAACGAAGGCATTAAAATTATGCCCTTTTAGGGCCTTTGGGAAGGGCATTAAAATTTTGCTTGAAATTCCTATACCATTTACGCCCTTTCCAAGGGCATAACACGATTTATGCCCTTGCAAGGGCGTAAAAGAGTATTTATGCCCTAAAGGGCGAAATTTTTATGTCTTTGATTTATCAGTGCGAGGACCGAACTGTGCCCCACAGCTGCATACAATTTTAAAGTTTCAGCCCTGAAATCCAAAATCTCCGAGGAGGGAGAAAGGATAGAAAACGGCAAAATTTGGGGATATGATCCTGTGAAATCTGTCCCGTTTAGAAATCTTGTGTAAACAAATTACAAAATAACGGTTGCTTCCCTCCTCGACCCCGGGATTTCTACACGGAAAGATTGATTCCTTGGTGCGATGAGAGAATGTAACGCGCATCTGTTTCCTCCTCAGCCCGACGCCATGTCCGCCTGCAGCTCCAGTCAGCTCGACAACCTGGAGAACCAGCTCGAAATCTGCAGCAAGGGCCTCCCTGTCCAGCAGTTTGATGGCTACTGGCGCTGGGCCCGTGACGTCACCAGCAGGTTGAAGAGAGAAACCACCTGCGACTTGAGCAAGGCCCCCGCCCTCTTCCGGTCCGAGCTGCGCAGCATCGGCTACATCGGCAAGAAGGACCTTGACCGCGCTGTGACCTGCATCGCCAACTCTATCCAATACGGCATTTGTTGTTAAAGAAAACGGACGACGAACGGACAATAAAGATCAAAGTCAACAACAATTAATGGTCAAGAAAATAATTACTGTTCCCAACTGTTACTACAAATGTCATTTGATCCATGAAGCGGAAGAAGGGAATAATTCGACTTATCTCCATATTGAGTTTTTATCTTATAATTGGGCCTCAGGGGAGATTGCATCATTACACCAAATTGTTTCACCCAATTCTTATCAGTTTAGGAGAAAATCCACGCAAGGTAGGTTTACGCCAGACCGCGTCTTGTCGTAACAGGCTTCGCGATGTCTCGCTGCCTGTTTCTCCAATCCGCGCCTGGTGCAAGCACCTACCTTGGCCTGCGGCGCTAGCCTGCCTGCGGCAGGCAATGGGTTGTCCATTGTTGGTTATTTTTAAACTTGTTGAATGCTGGGGGGCTCCGCCCCCCAGACCCCCCTACATTCTAAATAGAGTTGTTTTATCCACAGATAACACGATCTTGACCCTTGTCATCTTTAAACTTGTCGAGGCTGGGGGACTCCGCCCCCAGACCCCCCTTTCTCCAAGACAGAAGTGATCTATCTGCGGAAAACTCGATTTTTCGCAGTTTTTTAGGTGTTTTTCGGCTATAAAAACTGAACCATTTGAGCTAGGGTAGTGAAATTTCGCGTGTGCCGAGCCAAGGACATACCCAAAGAGTGTGCAAAATCTCACCGAGATCGGCCGAGCCGTTCAGGAGGAGTAGTGCGGACACACAGACAGACACACAGACAGACAGAAAAAAACTTTTCAACCCCACTGGAGTAACAGGCTTCGCTATCGCTCAGCCAATAAAAAATGGATATAACTCAACGTGACCCTTTATACGGTCTAAATTTTATCGGAAAATGGAGGTAACTCAACCGAAGTCAACATAACTTTCATTGCACAAAATGTTAAAAGGAGATAACTCAAATTGTGTCTTTATGAATCTAACTCGCGCTGCTCGCTGGGGGCTCCGCCCCCAGACCCCCGCATGTGTGGGGCGCGTGCCGAAGTATTTTCAGTCAGTCCGTGGTGACCAAAGGCAAATTTTCTAAGAAAGTAAATGTGCTGCTTCTTTGAAAGGTCTATTTAACAGCTTTTGACCATATAATTAAGCTACTTTTACTGCCCAAATAGATAGCTTGTGTTGCATTGGCTACTGTGGCAGTCAATGGGTGCGTACAAGGTCCGGAAAATATTGAAGACTGCTTTGACAAGGATAGAGGTGAATGGAAAAAACCGCAAGTCTCTACGACCACTCCTTGACCCCAAACATTTCTATGAGTGAGTCAGTGAGTGAGTCGCAGTCAGTCAGTCGGATTGGGGCTATATAGATTCTTGATGATGATGATTTACCCAAATGCCGGTGGCGGGGACCCGACTGCTGCAGTTTCGGAAATTCTCGACCAGACCTACCGATGGGGCGAATAAAAATTTTTAGTCATTCGGTCCCCTTTTTAGAAGATTGAGTAGGTTTGCTCGGAAACGGTGAGAAATTTTCAACTTTTCGGATATTTCCCTATTTTCCCATTAAATTTGGAATCGAATGGAAAAAGCCGCAAGTCTCTACGACTACTCCTTGACCAAAAACATTTCTATGAGTGAGTGAGTCAGTGGATGAGTCAGTGAGTCAGTCAGTTGGATTGGGGCTATATAGGTTCTTGATAAGTGAGAGAGTCAGTCAGTCGGATTTTGCGGCTATGTAGGTTCTTGATGATAATTGATGATTGATTTTGAGCATGTTGCCGGTGACGGCGACCCGATTGCGGCACAGTTTCGGAAATGTCTCGACCAGACCTACCGATAGGGCGAATAAAAATTTTCAGTCGGTCGGTCCCCTTTTTTGAAGATTGCGTGGATTTTGTTGAATTTAGGCCTATTTTAATAACGTTTTTAGGATGTTGCCGGTGACGGGGATCAGATTGCGGCACAGTTTTGGACATGTCTCGACGAGACCTAGCGATAGGGCGAATAAAAATTTTCAGTCGGTCGGTCCCCTTTTTCGAAGATTGAGTGCGTTTCGGAAACGGTGAGGAATTTGGTCCCCTTTTTTGAAGATTAAGTAGGTTTGCTCGGAAACGGTGAGGAATTTTGAACTTTTGGTATTTTTGGAATTGAATGGAAAAAACCGCAAGTCTCTACGACCACTCCTTCACCCCAAACATTTCTATGAGTGAGTGAGTGAGTGAGTGAGTGAGTGAGTCAGTGAGTCAGTCGGATTGGGGCTTTATAGGTTCTTGATGACAATTGATGATTGATTTTGAGTATGTTGCCGGTGACGGGGACCCGATTGCGGCACAGTTTCGGAAATGTCTCGACCAGACCTACCGATGGGGCGAATAAAAATTTTTAGTCGGTCGGTCTCCTTTTTTGAAGATTGAGTGGATTTTGTTGAATTTAGGCCTATTTAATCGTTTTTGAGGATGTTGCCGGTGACGGGGACCCGATTGCGGCACAGTTTCGGAAATGTCTCGACCAGACCTACCGATGGGGTGAATAAAAATTTTTAGTCGGTTGGTCCCCTTTTTTGAAGATTGAGTGGATTTTGTTGAATTCAGGCCTATTTAATCGTTTTTGAGGATGTTGCCGGTGACGGGGACCCGATTGCGGCACAGTTTCGGAAATGTCTCGACCAGACCTACCGATGGGGCGAATAAAAATTTTTAGTCGGTCGGTCCCCTTTTTTGAAGATTGAGTGGATTTTGTTGAATTTAGGCCTATTTAATCGTTTTTTTGAGGATGTTGCTAGTGACGGAGACCCGATTGCGGCACAGTTTTGGAAATGTCTCGACCAGACCTACCGATAGGGCGAATAAAAATTTTTAGTCGGTCGGTCCCCTTTTTTGAAGATTGAGTAGGTTTGTTCGGAAACGGCGAGGGGGGACCCACTAGGCACATTCGTTGTACATCCTGAGACCCAACTCCCGAAAAACTCACTCACATTCAAGACACATTCCACACATTCTCATAGAATCAACGCAATCAGCCACAATCCACCACACTCTTACACATTCGCTAACATTCCCTAACATTCTCACACAATCGCTGTACATTCTCTGACATTCTCATACATTCAGTCACATTCTGGACACATTCTTAACACATTCTCTGCACATTCCTTACACATTCTCAATGACAGTCCCCTAAAAATATTTATTTTAGTCTAATAACTTCGATTTAGGTTTACGTTCCTTTCAGCTCTAGCAGTACTTCCCTCCCTCCAGTGCGGTAGTGCGGTAGTTCGTGTCCGTCCCGAATCCGAACGGAGCCGCTGGCCCGTGCTCGCGTCGGGATCGTCCCTGGAAGCGCGCGAAACTCTGTCGAAGTCGAGTCAGCCAAGCCCCAGCCTAGTCCCAGCCCCGGGTCGAGGACAGGATATAGTTTACTGGTTATAGATATAAGGTTTGTCACTTGGAAGTGTTAATTTACATTGCCCTTTGCTTAAGGGGGCTCATACATGTTAAAAGCACTTTTTTTAAAAAAAAATTTGATGTAGACGGATTAAGATTTTACAATTTCTGTGTTAAAATCCTTTTAGATAATTGAGTAAGCTTCATTTTGGCTTAAGGGAAAGTGACTTTGGACATTTTTTGGAGATTTAGTCGAAACGTTTAAAATTTTGCTTCTCGTAAGATTTTGTTCGCATACTTGCTCAGATCTGTGGGGAAAAAATCAGGGAGACTCATCCCCAGTAGTGTCATAGAATTGACTAGAATGGGCTTTATATCTGCAATAGTTTTCAAGAAAAAAAATAAAAACAATTTTTTGTTGAAAAATTTGTTTAAAAAATTGTTAAAAAAATTGTTTTTATTTTTTTTCTTGAAAACTATTGCAGATATAAAGCCCATTCTAGTCAATTCTATGACACTACTGGGGATGAGTCTCCCTGATTTTTTCCCCACAGATCTGAGCAAGTATGCGAACAAAATCTTACGAGAAGCAAAATTTTAAACGTTTCGACTAAATCTCCAAAAAATGTCCAAAGTCACTTTCCCTTAAGCCAAAATGAAGCTTACTCAATTATCTAAAAGGATTTTAACACAGAAATTGTAAAATCTTAATCCGTCTACATCAAAATTTTTTTTTTAAAAAGTGCTTTTAACATGTATGAGCCCCCTTAAGTTCAGTTTTCTTTTCATTCAAATTTGAATCCTTTCATAACGTAAGCCAGAGCACGACTAGAGTCGTTTAAAACTACCTCCCCCCCCCCAAAAAAAAAAACCGTTTGGAACTGGCAGTTTGAGATAATGCTTATTAAACTGTGCGTCACTTGAACATTAGCCGCTCTGCGTGTTTGTGACTAAATCTGGCCGTCCTCCGCAGCTTCTCAGGGGGGCCAGCCACCCTGGATGAGCACGACTAAGGAATGAAAGGAGTCGTCCAAAATCTGGCAACCTCATGCGACAAAGCAAGATTTATAGAAGCAAAGAAACACCACTATGATGAACGGTTGACTACCTCAGGCGTGAAATTGGTTGCCTACCTTCACGGCGCTATGTAGAGACGTCGGCCGCACGCCCATTCAGCACACAATCTTCACACATTCTCGCACTTTTTCTTACATTCTCACACATTCTCATACAATCTCTAACATTCCTGACACATTCTGTCACATTCTCACTACAATCTGTAACATTCACACACATTCTAGACAATCTTTACAATCAGTACATTCCATTACAATCTTTACATTCTCACACATTCAACACATTCTACACATTCTACACTCAGTTGTACACTTTTTGGGGCAGTGGGTCCCCCCTCGGGAAACGGTGAGAAATTTGTTCCCCTTTTTTGTAGATAAAGTAGGTTTTCTCGGAAACGGTGAGAAATTTTCAACTTTTGGGATTTTTCCCAATTTTCCCATAAAATTTGGAATTGAATGGAAAAAACCGCAAGTCTCTACGACCACTCCTTCACATCAAACATTTCTATGAGTGAGTGAGTCAGTGAGTCAGTCGGATTGGGGCTTTATAGGTTCTTGATGTAAAAAGAATCAACTCACTTAACTCCCCATCACTAGTTTGAAAAAGAGGTAACTCCAAA